TTAAAAAACTTCTTATCGACGATTCTTTTGCAAATTTTCTTATCATGTCTTTCTTATATTTTTTGCTTGTACGCAATATACACTCATCCCTTCATTTGCACGATAGATGGGAGAGTACACGCTGAAGACGTGTGAAAATGGATAAAAATAGATCGGTTATTTATATTTATTCTTGATCAGCAGAGTTGATCCCCTCTCTTTGCTCTGATCTGAATATGAGCTCAAGGTGAAATATGAATACATTTTTCTCTTAAACTTTTCCTTTTTGTGTCGTTAAGTTTCAAAATCGAGATGAATTGGCAAAAGGATTTGCCCACAATTTTTAGATTGGCTTATCTGTACCTATCGTCTAACTTTAAGAAATTGTACAGAATAGTGATTTTAATCGACATTTCGCTGGTTTCTACACATTGTGAGGTCTTGCCCATGTGCACATGCATAAAAGTGATATAAAAATATGTTGGATTTTTCAAATTTTGACCTAAATTGAACCACAATTTTTTTTCATTTTTCCAAGACACTTAATTTCGTCGCAAATTGCAAATAAAGAACACCAGCCCTTGGGAAAGGATTCACTAAAATTCTCACGCACTAGACTTTTGTTCCCTTTTTCCGTTCTAAGCGTAACTTCTTATAATCTTTAAAGCCGCTCTTATCTTATCGCAGTCTGCGAAGCGCCCTGATGTTCGCTTCTGATTTTCTCGGTTTTCCGTTCGAAACTTTGCGTTGTTGTTGCGGAACCTATTTTCTATGCAAACAGGGAAGTAGGTGTATGCGTAATTTATATACGAGTAGAAGTTGTGAAATACATAGCCGCACAATTATAATTTGTATTGAAGGGTTTGTTGGTGTCAAAAAAACCTGGTGGTCGACATAAAACATGTAGTTCTTGCTCTTGTTCTTATTGCAATATTAGTTCCTCTTTACTATTGCAGTCTCCCTTTAGATTTTCTTACTAAATTAATTTTTCTATCATATAAAGACAAGTCAAAATACTATAGTAGAACTTAGCCCACCATTAAATACTTTACGCTACTGTACGCCATACTTGTGCAATTAACGACTTATCAAAATAAAGTGTTCTAGGGGAAGGGGCCGAAAAAGTTGTGTCAAAGTTGTGTGTTTGTCTTTGGACTAAGACGAGTCGTTCTACCAAATTTCATCAAAATGTATGGGTTGAACGGAAGAAAACTAGACGGACAGATGGACAGACAAACTTAGCTCGATATACCAATGGGTGAGTCTATGTGCTTCTATCTTCTGGGTTTTTCAGACACATATACGAACTTAACATACCCTTGTACCAGTCGTACATAAAAAATCAACTCTTCTGCTTTAGAGAAAATTCTGGTCACCTTATGAAGGAAAAAGGACGAACTGAACCGTTAACTACAGCAAACATAGGCATGTTGTTCCAAGCTAGCTTGTGCCATTAATAAGAAGAAACAAATCAATTGGGAAATTCTTCTTTTGTCTTGTGACATGCCACAGTGTTCATATATATTAGTTAAACTTTAAATAACTTTCATCGAAATATATGGTTGGTTGTTCGAACCAATGTGAGTGAGTGAAAAAACAACGGGAACATTTAAAGGTTTGCACAGAATTCAATAGACAACAGTTAGCTGAATACAAACACTTAACTACAATCATACATTAAATACATATAAACGAAATATATTTTAAAATAAAAAGGTTTTTGAACATTGAACTTGTATACAAACTAGAATTAACCCTCGCATAACTTCAAGGTCAACTAACAAAGAGCTCTTAAAAATTCCTCTTAAAGAAATCTTTCGTATTTAAATTTCTTCCTTGTATTAAGCTTAAAAAATAGTTTATAAATAAATTGCTTTGTATTAAATACCGAAAAATCTAAGATTACGTTTTTTTTTTAAGTTTTTTCTTTTTGTTTACTAGTATTGTAAAGCACGGATTGTCAATGTCTTCAACACCTTCGATAGCTCAGTTGGTAGAGCGGTGGACTGTAGAGATACCAAATAGCAAAGATATCCATAGGTCGCTGGTTCAAATCCGGCTCGAAGGAATCTTTTTTTATAAAATTTTGCTGAATTAATCTGCCGTTTCTTCTCTTTTGCTTAATGCTCATTTTCGCTTAATGCTCATTTGCATTATCGTAAACACTTGTAATCTTTTGTATTAAGAACACCAACACCATTGCAGCAGTTTAGACAATTTTTAAAATAGATCTTTTTAGACAATTTGTTGGCATTTATTTATTTCTTAGTTTAATGCTTTAATGAAATAATAATATTTTGGCCTTGAGATCGCTAATTGGTCATAGGAACGAGCAATGGGTTTTCTTATCATAGTTTTGTAATAGTGTGGAGCTATAACACCACAATAACAATTTTCAATGTAAATTTTTTTTTTTTTTAAGATAACGTTGAATTGTGGAAACCGCACCTATCTTCGTCTCTGTGAGGCTTTGAAGTATATCGAATATATATACTGGAAAGTTTCATATTTTATAAGAATGAAATTAGCCTGCTGGACTAATCCTCTTTTGAGTTTAAAATATTGTTTCTCGAAAGATTTAAAAATCGTAAGAGTAAATAACAAGAAACTCAGATTAGGGAAACAGACGACTGGGGCGGGCCCCAATGAGGATGGAATAAAGAATGTCGAATACTTAAACTATATTATTAAACTAAATAAGTTAAGAAAGTTACGAAGGGCTTAGTACCTTCGATAGCTCAGTTGGTGGAGCAATGGTCATTGTGAAAAATAAATGGCCATGGTCGTTGGTTCGAGTCCAACTCGAAGGGTCAGCATTTTGCATCGGGCTGGAATTTCTTAAATTTTATTATTGGAATTTTTTACAAACCCTTAAATAGTTTACCAGTTATGATGGCATTGGCAAGCTTAAAAACTTATCGCCTAGAAATGTCTGCAGATTAAGAAAGCGAATAACGAATAGAAATAAATTCGTCTGCTATTTCTCTTCTCACAATTTTGAGAATTAAGCTAAGAAGTTGAAGATATGAAAAAATCTATTCTAATGAGGAAAACACAAACGATTTGAACGAGAAAGCGCCTCTCATGAATTTAGTAATAGAAAAGGGCTACGAATATCTACGATCAACTCAAGAAATAGTTTAGACCGAATTTTAAACTTGTGAGTGTGCGTGTGTACCATTCCGTTAATGCAATATCTGCAGCTGAACAATCATTGTACTCTTGATCTAAGTTCAACATTGCTTTCCGATTTTTGATCAGCTTCTTCTTTAATACCATAATATCTTCTTGATAAGCACAATATAAAAAAGATTTTTTGAGTTTTCTTTCAATTCGTTTTTAAAAATGGAAAGAAGCCAAACTCTCGAATTAAAAAATTAACTTTCAATATTCGATAGTAAAAATATTCGATCCAGCAAAGAAGAAACCCGTTCGATGATGAATATCCTTAGAATTGAAAGCATTTCTATAACAGCTCCTGCATTTGATAAAAGAATAGGAAATTTTACGGGATTTCAATTAGAGAGAGAGAGAGAGAGAGAGAAGCCCCATTTGAAATCATTAGAAAAATTTCTACACAACAGAGCCATCGTTTCACGAGCAGCTAAGAACGGCGGACAATTCTGCACTTGGACTGATAATAAATTTTTTTTGGAAAACCAAAATAAACGAAACTTCTGCGCATCAAAGCTTTAGCTTAGTTTGTAATCTCTTCTATACTATATCGATACGTGTACTGCAATAAATGTAAAATAGAAGACAGAGGGATCGCTTCTATATCTCGTTTTAATAACGCTGCGAAAATATTAGATCTGTAGATGGTTGCGACCTCATTCCGATTCAAGCTACTCTCTTTGGTTTTGTTTCTTTTTTTCTTTTTTTGCTGTTTGTACATTCTCTCATCTTATAGATGGATTCTTGCTAAATAAAGTATTCATAAATGTGTTTTAAATTTTTTGTTAGTATTGAACGTAAATGTCGAGATCCATTAAAATTCTTGTTTGTCATCCATACGCAGCATCACACTAATCCTCATAATATGGCACTAAAAATCTGGCTTATTTTCCTTCTAAAGATACATTTGATAGCATAGAGTAAATGTAAAAACAAACAAAAAAAAAAAAAATCATTTTAATGGCAAATCTCAACTTTCTGGACAACGCTCTGAAAGGCAATCATCCTGTATTGTGTGTCTCATGTGTATAGCCAGTATCTATATGTTATTGTTGCACTAAACTGTGTAGAGTTTTAGTCTGTTTCTTCTTTCTCCTTTTCGTCTTTTTCGTTTTTTTCGTTTTTTTTTTTTTCTTTTTTTGTTTTTGCTATTTTTCAAACCATAAGCATATTTCGTCGAATTAAACCATGTGAATTTATAAGCATTAAATGACACGCTAAAAATAAACGAAAACCATAAATGTAACGTCCCCTGGTCCATATATATTTATATGTTATAAAAATATATATATATATATATATATATATATATATATGAGAATAGCATGCCATGCCTTGTCTACATATATATATATATAGATATATACATACATATATATATACTTAAGTATATACAGCCGTGAACACATAAATAGCCCCACACTTCCACATATGGAAAATATAAATAATTATTAAAAAGATTTATAAGAGCATTCCTTGCGACTTATCTAAAAGCATTATTAACCATTTTCCTGAAGCGCTACAATAATGTAACTAATTTCGCTACTTCTTTTTTTTTTTGCTCCTCAACCAATTAAAGAAAAAAAAAAAACTGTCAAACTTTTTATAGGGAGAACTAATTTCGAATTAAATAAATAAATTTCTTTTTTTATAAAATTTTGAAAATTCTCTTCGTTCCCGTAGGGAATATATTCGCCTAGCGAATACATACATATGTTCGGGGCTGTATGATCGCTTAGAATATATTGTGGTAATGGATGAGTATGGTGTTTGTTACCACATTTACTCGTACATCATATAACCTAGATGCTGTTGTGTCTAGAACTATAGGCAGTTATTCTTGGTTGGTGTCCTTTGTGGTCATATTGAAAGTGAAGGTTTTTAATTTCATTTTCTTTTTTACTTATATATCTCGTGTCCTCCTTCTCTCAGACTCTGTTTATAGTCATGAACGATGTTTGCAAAGACTGCGTCATGTATTTGTTATTTGCTATCTATCTGCTTTGTTGTTAATTGATACCCTATGATGGTTGTTTTTATGCACTGACGAGAGAGGCCAAGTGTCTGCTATTACAATCAGCTTAGCTTTTATTATTCATATCTGACGACTCTGCAGCTGAGCTGAGCTGAGCTGAGCTGAGCTGAGCTGAGCTGGTGATAATTACATTTACTTTGGTGGTGGTGGTGGTGGTGGTTTATCCACCATTTTCAAAGCTTCGGTATTCTTACTTTTGCCTTCTGATAATGAGATGACTTTACTTGTCAAAGCGTTGTTAACTTGGCTGCTGTTATGTGACGAATACAAATTTGTTCTGAAGTATTGCGGTATTCGGCATTAGGGTCTAGCAGGGAAGAGACGATTGAACCACAATTGTTACTATCATATATGCGTGAGTCTGCATTTTAAGCGATTTTTTTTTTTCATTTTTTTTTGTTTTTTTTTTACTTAATACACAAATCCAACCATATAAGGAGAGCAGTGTGTCATTGAGTTAAATTCTTTAGATTACAGTCTCTTATGCTCTTGACATTCGCTTAGTGTTAGCTATTGGCTTAAAACAAAATTTATAACTTTAAGGTATGGTAATATACCAGGCTTCTGGCTGATATGATGAATAACTATTAATACATTAGTGTCTTAATATTCACTTCGCTTTAATCTCTTTCGAGTAGTTTAAATAACTTGATCGTAATCGAATATTAGCAACAACACTTACTATTAGAAAATTTGGAAAAAAACTTCAATGATTTAATTAGATTATGGCATAAAAAAGATGATACGATAATACAAAGGGATTCTAAATAGGGGGAAAAAAAACCGACTACATATTTTTTTTATTTTTTTTTTTGATTTTATTTGACCTGATCACCTCTACCATCAAGCTGTTTGGGTAGGCAGTTCATTTTTGCCCGAGCCTCGCAGCCACATGGAACGATACATGTGTCGCCGTGACCAGTTAGTTCCGTTAAATCATTTGCTGGTGGTTTCGGTATATAGGTTTTAGTGGGACAAGCCAATATTCGCCAATTGGGATGGGGATCTAAATAATCAGTGCCGGCCTTAATGTACTGTTCAGCCAATTCCGCACAAAATTCCGGATCGTTGCTAGCCCGCTTAACATCTTTGCTGAATTTCGCCTCCTCATCTTCACGTATGCGCTTGAGTTGTGCAATTTGTTGATCTAAGGCGATCCGATTCTTTCGACGTTGTTCTAATATCTGTTCGCGTGTAATTTCTTCATGCGCGAAACGATTTTCCATCATTTTGCATTCGCGGTGTTCAGCTTCGTCGCGTAAACGTCTCTCGTATTGTTCGCAAATTTGTTTACGCAACTCGGCATAACAAGCTTCGGCAAGTCTCGCTTTTCGCTCTCTTTCGCGCTTTATATTACTCTTTGTGCACGTGTCCACGCTGCTCAGATCATCGATACGATCATTGTACATGCGTTCTTGTTGCTCTTCTAATTGTTTCATGCGTTTCACATAAGCGATATACTCAATGGTGGCCTTATAGAACGCCTGTTTACGTTCGTGTGCAGCCAAAATGTCTTCAGCTTCCAAACGTTGAATTTCTTCTATCATTTTACAGTGATATTCAACTGCTTCTCGGTCTTCTTTCTCCTTTCGCGCCTTATTTTCAGCAATCATATCCAATAAATCTTTACGATATTCGAGAGTTTTGAGAGGTGTGCCTTGTAATCTCTTGTCAAACTCTTCCAAACGTATTTCTTCCAGTAATGTGTCCAACTTTCTCTTCTCTTCGAGTTTCTCTTGACGTACTTCCTCACGTTTCTCTTCACGCTCTTCCATTTGTATATTCAATGTATCAGTAATATCTTTGGCTAAAGCTTTCTTCAGACAACTCTCCTCCCGTAGCAGATGATCCTCTCGATCGAGTCTAGCTTTTTGTACATTTCGCCAATATTTCTCTAAATCACGTTCGCGTTTAATAGCTCGTTCCTTTTCTACGATCTGCTCTAGCTGGCATATCTTAACATTTTGCATTTCTTGACGACGCAGCGCTTCTCGTATCTCGTAGCAACTATTCATATACTGTTGTATACGTTTCGATTTCAAAAATTCCAGCTCATGTTTAGCGCTTTCCTCCTTAATCTTTAGCAAAGCATCCTTACGCTCTTTAATGTCCTCGTCAATACGTGACTTCACCTTACGGGCAAATTCTTCTTCATAGATTTTATCTTCATATTCGATTAATTTTTGCAATGCAATGCGTCGCTCACTAAGTTCCCTATTGGCTATGTCCTGGGCTCGAGCGACCAAATTTTTAATTTGCGTAAACAAACTTTTACGATCACTGCTTACTATAAACTCATGATGATATTTTAATTGGTTTTCTTCATCCATATTGGAATTTTGTAGACTCGAAGGCTTTTTCACAATATTTTCTTATATATAAGTATCTGCTTTTCTTTAACTGAATTATTTTATCAAGTCTTAGCAAATTGTATGAAAATTGAGAAATTCTTTCAAAAAATAAATTAAAACATTTTCAAAAAAAGTTTTATTCAATGTGTATCTTTTTTGACACTGAGCTATGAAAATTTTATTTTACGGACAAGAGAGTTTCCTATATGGTACGAAAACCAAAAGTATATATTTCTTAACAGCCAGAATATGAAAATTGTCTGAATGTTTTGTTGAATTTCTTTTTTTTCTTTGTTTTCTTGACTGTAGAAAATATTAAATGGGAATATATTGTAATCCCACCAGGCTTGGATCTCCGTAAACCTAGTCCTAGCCTAGTGTGATATGGAATAGCACTACTAACCACCTACGTAGGATTCACTTAACTATGGTCTATCTGGCTGTAGGAATTCCCGAAGTAGGAAAATAAAAGACAACAAAAAGCGAAGAATAAATTTTAGATATATATATATATAGAGCACTAAAAGCCCACAAAGAGCAGAAAGTCTATCACTATTTGTCAGACTTTTAACTGTCAACTTTTTTAGTTCTCTATAAAGCTAGATATTCCAATTTTCATTACAGTTCTTTGCGCTTGTTCTTCATTTTTTTTCTTAGGATCTCTTGTATTAAGCCAACAGGAAAGAGAACGGGGAGCAAGCAAGATTGAAACGGGACCAGAAAGCCAGCATTTAACGCGCCTGTTCTTATGAGAATGTTAGGTCAGATTCGAAAATGAACACGATTAACTTACACTAACTCCAGCCGAGAAGGGAAATAATATTGAATCAAGCGAAGATTTCGATATAATTTCATCATATAATGTTATTCAATACTTGATATTGAAGAAGTGAAAAAAATCAAAGGGATGCGGAGATTGCCGTTACCCTGACGGTATGTGCCCAATCGTTAAGGGCCTTTACTCGAGTTACGACCAAAGTAAACTCTACCGCACTAAGATTTGAACTCGCGAAAATCGACTTGGTGGTCACTATTCCTACCCCACTCGGCTACTATTGCGGATTCTGGTTATTGCAGGAACTGCAGTAAATGTAATAACATTTATTAATGTTCGTTATGAAATCCATAAATCTTTCATTTAATCGAATTTTTAACTAAAGAATTTATAACATATTTAAGCACATCCAAACGTGATAGACGACCTATTACCTATCAATATCATCATGAGATGATTCTCAGAACATTTGAAAGCCACGCAAATTTCAAATTTTAAAGCATATCCCAAAAGGTCGTTGTCGGCTTTCGATTCCAAATAAATGATATAAGTATCAGTAGCTCAAAGTTCTTTTCTGGACTTATCTAACAGGTTAATTTCAGCATTTTTTTGACAATGTGATCAGAACTTAATGATAATTCAGGAAATCAATAGTAGCATAGTAACTCATCTCTTGTTGATTCGTGGCATTAAGTTTTCTTTAAAAGATAGCAGAGTCCCGGCATTTGAAAACCGCTCGTTTGCATAAGTTGATGCGATTTGAATAAATGTGAATCTTTACACTAACCCCTTATCACAGTACTAGTATAAATTGTATACGCTTTTGAGGATGCTACGGATAAAGTCACGAAGCTATTATATCCGCGAGCTTTGCGTTGGGCATAAGAGAGTTACTGTGCGAAAGTAATGCATACTTCGTTAGAATGTTTATTTTATTGTTCTTGAATGCGTCTTGATGCTTACTCTATTACAGGAAGTCATTGATTTAAATTCGTTTCATTACTTTAGGTACACGCAATAAAAATTCAAATTAATTTTGCTTTCATATAAGCCGCACAACTAAGTAATCCGTAACTGTTAAATAATAAATTTTTCTTCTTTTTTTTTTGGAAAATGATTTATTATATTAGCCTATTACGCTACTATCATCATTGGAAGATTAGATTTTTATTTCCGTTTACAATGTTCAAAAAAATTCTACAAAGTGTACTCTTATTCCTTCCTAACCCCGCCGCTCGCAATGAGAAGCTGATGAAACACCTGCGGTCAAGAAAATGGAGAGAAAAAGTTGATGCCCGGCATATACACTCTCTGCTAGCAGCTATAGACATAAACTGCGAAAACGGTCGCGGGGATCCCAATCGGTTTTTGGTAAATAATAGTTTAAGAATTTATTGCACGCGCCTACTAGAAATCCATAGAGCATTGGTAATGAAAAGAGTCCGCCCGATCTGTTTTGAAGTAAATACAACAACTATCTAAATAACTTATAATCTTGAAATTAGATAGTAATCCACAACCTCATGCAGTATATTGCATTGCTAGAGGCAGTCGAAAATTTAATATAAATACTTAGTAATTCTAGTTGGTTAACGCACACTGCTGGGTATCAAAAATTCACTCTAATCTGAACATAATTGTTTTACTTTTCTTTTTTCTTGTTTTGCTTTTATTTTTTCGTTTTCTTATTTACTTTACGGCATTGTAAAGCGCAATTCTCATGTATGTATATATATACATATATATATATATATTATTTCCTACATACATTATATTTATGTAGATTTTTTAAAATTAGTGAACATAAAAGTGATTACCCTTTACGCAAAGAGCATCAATAATTAAAATTTATTTCATAAGTCTATTACACTCTTCCTCTTTTTTTTCGCATTATCGTTGGATTGCATAAAGGTAATAATAAAATATTCTCGTCTATGTGTGCGTGCGTATGGCTGTGCAAATAGAACAAAGGCTATCATCATCGTCGTTGGAGTCATTTTTCGCAGTGAACGAAAATGTTTGCAAGAATGTGTTACTCACTCATTGAATATAGTTTTAGGCTAATATAGATTGCATTATTGTTTTCTTCTTCTTATTTTTGTTGAAGTTTTTCGTTTTTATACCCTACACCACTTGTGATACAGGGTATATTAAATTAATGTGGCCACATGTAACACGCAGAAGGGCTTAAGATAGAACGCCTTTTATTACACCGATCGATCGATCCAGAAACATAATCTGAATTGATCTAAGCATGTCTGTCCGTCTCAATTTTTGAAACACTTTGATGGTATTTAGTAAAGTGACGTGTTTTCACCGGCAGACGAACGCCATTGGAAATGATTCGAATCGGTCCACTTTTTCGGCCATTACCCATACAACGACCTATTCTGAAAAATATGGTAATTTTCGAAATTTCTCGGCAAAAGTGGCTAAGTAGTAGTATTTCGGCATTCTAAATTGGTATGAAAACTCTGGACCAGCTGGGGCAATTTTTGAATCCCCTCTTACATAAGGAAAACTAAAGTTCATAGGACAAAAAGGTATAATTTTCAATGCTTCCCGATGAAACTTATATCACAATAGCAATTTAACATAAAAAAATTAACTGTGCCAAATTTAGATCATCTCGGCCTATCTTTTTGATCCTATTCAAATAAGGATTTTTACGTAAGTTGATCCTTTGTAGAGCAGAATAATATGTGGTGATCGAAACTGGGCCATAATATTATAGTAATTTCATACAAAAATGAACTCTACAAAGTTTAGACCATCTACGCCTATTTTTGGATCCTGTCCGATGTAGGGATTAGACTTCTACTACATTGGGTTCCGTTTTGGGCCATCTTCCCCATAAATACGTATGTGAAAAATATGCCTTCATTTAGAAAAAAGATATAATTTTTGTGTTCTATATTGAAAAGAAGAGACAGTGTGAGACAGGGTAGGGTTGTAGGGTATTTAATGCACGATCTTGTCCGACTATAATATTCCTACTTGTTCTATTTTAATTGTACCGAAATTCATTTTGCGTTCATTTACTAGTCGTAGCAAACAGTAATGAAAAAATTTTTTTCCAAAGTAAATTCTTGTATGTAGTTATAAATGTGTTTATTCATTTTTCCTTTTATTTTATCGTTGGTGTTTATATACGTGTGCTTGCATGTAATTGCGAATGAGACAAGTCGGCGGTATGTAAGACTTTTTAACTCTTTGAAAACTTAGAGAGAAAAGCAAATATTTAATTGGTGGTTTGTTAAGGCATTGTTAGCATATTTGTGGTCAAATCAAATCATACAAGGATTTTCAAATTAATTGACAGAAATTAAGAGCATATCACACACGCACGCACACATATACACACGCATGCCTATACTAACACACTCTTTATATATGTATATATACATACTAGGAGGAGAAGTACTGAAAATATGTTTACCATGAAACTCGTTTACCCTCTACGCTATGCGAATCAAAATTTTCCTCTAATTGCATGATAGCAAATAAAATACCGGCAAAACTAGCACTAAATTCATATCGTAAATTGATGATTGATGATGATTAATGATGATGACAACATATCCAATAATTTGTAAATCTCCCTCTAGCTGTGGCTTCATTAATAAGATTTTAAGCAGTCAAACTGAATTGGCTTAATATCTCGTGCTCACAAAAATACCTGCATGTAAATGTTTTGAAATCGTTACAAACGAGACGACAAAGTTAATATACCTAGGTATTGTAGCGGTGCTTATATAAAGATGCCACAACAAACTAACAGTTAAGTGAAAAAAGAAGAGAGATAGCATGTTCAAGTTAACTATACAACGAGTACCCTAATAAAAGCTATTTGTATGTGTACATGCACACATATGTTTATATATATATATATATATATATATATATATATATATATATAGGCAGTTACATGAATGTGTGTTTCAGTATGCGTGTCTTTTATTTGTTTCGGCAATCGGTCTGACAGTAATGTCAATCGCATGTTATGCGCTTTTAAGCAAATCAAATTCAAACACGCGCTAACAATTCGCAATTCTCTCTGCCTTTAAAGAGGCCTTTGACTTTCATTCAACCCAAGGATTTTTAACGAATTGTTTTTTTCCACAGTGATGACATACGCATACACCTATACAATTCAATGTAAACCAATATAGTTAGTAAACGTATATATATATATATATATGTATATATGTACTCTCTTCTACATATATAACATTTAAAATTTTTTTTAACTTCTGATTGCTTTCACTTACTACTAACGATGACGATGATGATGATGATGATGATGATGATGATGATAATGATAATGATGATAACTTCCCTCTCCCTGTTTCGCCCAAGTGTTCTTGCTGTTTTGTTATTTTAGCCACTACTGTTTTCTTTGAGATTCCTCAACAATTGACAAGGGTACTCTTGTTAGGTTATGTACCCACCGTGTATCTACTTTTTGAGTTGTCAGCAAATTTTTTTCTTTTTTTGTTTTATTTCATGTATTTTTATCATCACCGAATGACAACAGAAGGAATAACAATTCTTGAAGAAGACGAGTACTACTGTGTTAACACATCGGTCAATAATTCTCGGGATTAACGGGCAAATATCGTCTCTATTAAAAACAAATACCGATTATTTTTGTAAAGTCCCGACCGTGATTTCATGTTATTTCTATTCGATTTGTTTACGAGAAATTTTTGGCTATTTTGAAACCAATAGAAAAATTATAGTAGTATAGTGAAATGAAAAGTTCAAAGAGTTATTAGGTCGGGGCGCTGAAAAAGTTTGCAAGACGGCGAAGATCGGTTCGCTGTCTCACTCACTGCACTTTCCAAAAGCCGTTCCGCGCGGCCAATGTCTGCTTACATATTTGAAAAACCTTGAGGCAGGGTAGTAGATCAAATGATAAGGTCGTTGCGGAAGCTGACGTGCATTTTGAAGGTTTGAGGTTTCAACAAAAACAAGAGTAATACTCTCAAAAAGGCGTCTAGATGTAATAGAAGATTTAAGCAGAATGCATCGCTTTTGAGATAGAGAGGAGATAATGTAAACAGAACCAAGTCGAACTTTGCGAAAAAGAAAAGAAGAAAATCGTACGTAGTCCGGAGTATTATTGACTGATCTATTAAACACACACGCATATACACAAATATATATATGCACACATTACACACATATGTATATATATATGTGCACATATGTTCGTGTTCGTGTTCATACCAAAATCAATAAACAGAAAAAGAAAAAAAAAAGACAGAAAAAAGAACCATCTGACCAAACAACAAAGATCGGTAGCTAACTAACTAGTAAACAAGACACACTTCATTCATTTGATGAACCATCATCAACGGCAGCTTAAACAGCATGAAATACAAATCAT